TATATAACCAAGTTGCGAAAGCAAGGTCAACAACCTATAAAAAATAAATAGTTGCATGTAACCCAATTTAAAATTCAAATAAGGAGGCGTTAGAAAGATTTGGCATTATATAAATAAACATGGATATCAGATAATCTTTTCATTAGGATAATGATAATGAAAATAAATGCCTAGTCATACAAAGGATAAGATACCTTAGCTTTTTATGCCCAATCATTGCTAAGTAGAGGGTATGCTTGAGTTTGTAAACGATTCCCGAATTTATAAAACTTCTTAATCGATAACAAAGTTACTAGAATATTTGTGTTATTCGATTACTTTACATATCGTAATTCAGTTGAAAGTTTAGTTGCCTTTCTTTGGATTGAGTAATTTTATATTAGTTTCTTCATGGGGATCCTTTATTTCAATTCCATTGTATTTTTATTTTGGGTCTCATTAGTCTCGCATAAATTTACTCATTTAGTTTAGCATTATCACTTTTATTTTGCATATAATCCGTAAAAATTCCTTTGCTTTATACGCTTTAGTTAAACATTGCGTTGATGATGCAGAATATGCAATTCCAAGTATTAAATGCAGATCTAGCCTGAATTCCTCGATCTCTGATATTTATGGTTCCTCGCCAACATCCGGCTTCAATTCACATATCCTTTCTGCGTTTCCTTCCGGATCGATTGTTCCTTCCAAAGACCCCGCGCCTGTTTCATCATTTCCACAATCAATGCATTCTGTATGTCCTTCCTATAATCCACACATACCTAGATCTGTCGATAATCAGCGTCTTTCAGCATTAAAGCTCCCGGTTGAAAGCCCTCCTAATGATCATTTAATGAGCGAAACGACTCAGCAATCTATCCTATTGTTGGGTAAATCAAAGGTTTTAACAGGGCTTGATTCTACACCTGAGACGACCGCCAGAAAATTAATCGCAGTAGATACGTCTACTGGCAAATCAGTCGACGTTTTGCTAGCCTGTGATATTGGTAGTAAGCAAAATGCCTCCAGAGTCGTTCGACATAAAGGGCGAATGCGTACTAAATCGTCCGATCTGATGCACCAAATGGTTCTTGGCGCCTTTGAACTGGGCGAAGATGTACTTACTTTTTTGCCGCACAACGATGTGCAGTACCAACCTGACAAGCTGGTGCCAGAGACTAAAGCATCACGGGACTCAACTCTGAATAGCAAGGTAGAATTGGATCAGACTGAGTTGCGGCCTATTCAACTGGACGGCAGGTTTCAGGTGGAGATAGAATCCCTATTTGATCCGCAGCTGGCCTCTCATAAGGGGCTTTTCAGAGTAGGTTTATACTTGTTTATTTATTTAATTTATGGACATTTTTGTGGAGCTTCAAGGACCTGTCTACCATGTGAATAAACTCACCGCAAATTTAATTATTTCCTGCCGCACAAAAGGTCCCTGTTTTTGACTAGAACCTTTTAAGCCATACGTTAGGGTAACATGGATTTTTTTTTCACGAATATTTATCTTTAGGTATTTGGTTTACACATTAACGGGAGGCAATTACACTTTCGACGAAGTGGAGGCAGATGGCTTACTGGAAATATTATGAATAGGAAAACCTAGTGTTCATCTTTTTAAAGAAGATAGGTTAATCCTAGCCGTAATTGACACTAGTTAATACAAAAGTAAAGTTTGACTAAATAGTTTTTGTTCAGAGGTGGGCTTGCCTTAGATGCAATACATATGCTATAACTGAGTGACGCCACGTTAATGATAGCAGGACGTGCTTGTCTTTCCTAGGTGAGCGAACTCATTTTTAGGCCTTGTGAAGACGAGATGAAACAATGAGGCAGAAGCATAGTTGCAATTTTTTCCTAATTCCAACATTTCTGGAAACAAGCAGATGCTAAAATATTTGAAAAACACTCGGCGTCTATCGTCTATATGCCTGAATGAGGGCAGTAAATGCTATTGTGGGAAATTAAATTGTTCCTATGATTTATTTTCCTAATAAATCTATACGGAAAATAGTGTAGTGAGATTTATTTAATATATTTTGAGAAGGTTAATGCTATTTGAAAGATTTGAAAGATTTTTGATAAACGATATAATCTTTGTTTGTAGGGGCACTTTCGATACCACTTATTCGGATGAAGTTTGAGCTACACATAAAGTTAAACAACACAGGAACTAGCAGATTGGCAATCTTTGAAACTCCGGTTAAGAGAGTAGAGGAGATAAAGCTCAATTTGTTTACTTAATACGTAGAAATTCTCATAATAAATGGCGATTTGTTAGAATGCACTAAACTGTATTATTTAAATAAGATAACACTAGCTACATTAACAGTAATTTTGATTAAATATATCAAGTAAATAATTAGACTTTTCGACTTATAAATTGAACCAATTTTCTGTACGTTTAAGGAGCGCATGCATGTCATTAAAGACTTATATACACATTAAAACTATTTCTATCCTTTACAATAAAAAATAAATAATTATTATGGAAGGAAATACAAATTTAGCAATTGCTACTCAAACAGCGAATTCGGCTGATGAATAAATGCAATTCCACAAACCTTGTCAGTCAATAGAGGACAAAGGAAGATTTGATGAATATCACAAAAAGGATTTAGAAAGAACTTGAACTAACCTCCAGATAGCTGGCCTAGGTACTTTCTTGATAAGGTCTGGAAGGTACCAGAGCAGTTTTTATAATGATAAAGACGCCAGCTTTGTGTTATGATTATAATTTAAGCGAAAATCCGTGTACCGAATACTAAATATATGAGCCATAAAGCATAAAATGGGTTCATGGCGTGGCCCCTATGCAGCTTCATTAGAAAGAATAGCTGATAGAGACTTCTCATTAATAAAGCCCCTCGGGCCAAAATTCAGGACGAACCGCTGAAAGATTTAACACAAACGGGCTCGTACGCAAACACGTGGGGCACA